TTATCAGATGGGCTAGGTGCTCGTCCTCTTCCTCTAGAGGACGTCCTCCCACGACCTCTACCACGGCCTCTTGCCGCTGCTCTTCCTCGAGATACAGCCCAGTTGCTGGCTCAGATGCACTCTGTCCCACTGGTGCTGGTGTTGGTGTTGGCGTAGTCGTTGCTCTTGTTCTAACCATCTGCGAAATAGAGTGAAGATGGTCAGATACCAATTTGTATCACCTAGATACCAATTGGACCCAAGTAATAGAACGAAAGAAAGAAAGAAGAACGAAATTTTCCTAAAGTCTTATAGCCTCTCAAAGAAAAGTAAAGGCGTCCCCTTACCGTTCCTTAAGGCTCTACTAGACTCATTCTTTTGTGATGAGACCAACGAACCTACCTGGCACTGATACCAAGTTTGTCACGACCCAAATCTGGGCCGTGACTCGCACACACACTTACCCTCCTATGTGAGCGAACCAACCAATCTAAACCTTAACATTTCAATATAATATCAACAGAAAGTAATGCTGAAGACTTAAAATCATTAATAAAATCAATAACTATTATTATTCCCAAATCTGGAAGTCATCACCACAAGAACATCTATGATCAAATTACTAAACTAAGAGTATTCTAAGAAGCTAAAACAAATAAATGCTAGTCCATGCCAGAAGTTCAATGCATCAAGACATGATGGAGAAGATCAAGTCCAAGCTAGAAGCATTAGCTCACCCTGAAGATCCGGTGTGACGAAGACTGGCTAGAGTTGCGGTTGAGTCGAAGACGATGGCACGTTTGCTGCACTCCACAAATAACAAAGAAGAAAACAATAAAAGTAGGGGTCAATACAAAACACGGGTACTTAGTAGATATCATCGGCCAACTCACAATCGAAAACAGTATATATTAAGCAATATCATAAAATCAACTAATATCCTTAGCATGCAGCATTTACAGTTACCATAACCCTTGGTTACAACACCAAGCTCATCAATGAGGACTTATGCCTCCTCATCATACACATTTGGGAATTAGGTTCATTAGATTGAATATATTAACATCTTTAAAGATTCATTATCTTTATTCCTCTCGTGTCGGTATGTGACACTCCGCTCCTCATTCTATCCTGGTGTCAGAACGTGACACCCGATCCATATTCTATCGTGGTACCGGAACGTGGCACCCGATCCATATACTATCCTGGTGTCGGAACGTGACACTCCGATCCTCATTCTATCCTGGTACCGGGACGTGGCGCCCGATCCATATTCTATCCTAGTGCCGGAACGTGACACTCCGATCCTCATATACTATCCCGGTACCGGAACATGGCACTCGATCCAAAGCTTTGTGTTTTTCCCCTTCTCGATCGTCTCTCTCTCTATCGATTCCCCTTCCCTCTCTTTCTGTTCTTTTCTTTTTCTTATTCCAACCCTCTTTCTTTTACACTAATTAGTATATAATTAAGAATAAAATGTGGCAATAATGACCCACTAATTAACTTAAGGTTACCTCTTTTAACCCCCAAGTAATTAGACTTATTAACATTAACCCACTAACTTTATAATTAAAGCAGGAATAGTCAAAAACGTCCCTTAAAACGTATCAAGAAATCCGTCCCAGATTGGGATTACGTAGTCTGTGACGGCCCGTCGCGCCTGCGACTGTCTGTCCTGCTGCTCTGTCACAGACTTCAGAGACTCAATTTCTCTGAAGGGTCTGTGACGGTCCGTCCTGCCATTCCGTTACGAAGTTCAGAGAATCGATTTTCAGTACCCAATTTCAGATTTTCTAAGTGTTTTGAAATAAGACCCTGCGACGGTCCGTCGTGCCCATGACGGTCCGTCGTGGGGTCCGTCACTTCTGCCAGTTTTTCCAGAATTGAAATCTGCTGCTCAAAACGACTAAACAGGTTGTTACACTTTCTTAACTTAAGTCATTACATTTATTAGTTCATATAAGACTCATTCATCACATAAGGACATTCAAGCAATGGTCTTTGACAAGACCTAGAGACTATAATTTACACCTTCAAAGCCTATTGTGCAATGTCTAGATAGCGTCCCATAAAATGACTTTCCTAAAGTTTGATATGATGTCATTCCGTCCAATCAACTTAAAGTATATCATTTATTTACTTGAAGGATAACATTATGGATTTAAACTTCAACATTAATAACCTTTACACTACGTTTCAAGTTTCACATAAAAGACATTCTTAATATTATTTAAGGTATCATGTGATTCATACATACAAGACTGCATCCTAAGTGAAGGCATCTCCTATTCACATTCATACATGCATCAAGTAAGGGACACAAGTCAACCAAGACAATACACAACATACTTCACTTTAAATCATATTACATGGCATCCTAGAAACACATAGACATAACCCATATCCTCTTTAAGAAATCGTATACACTATCATATCATCTTTAATATAACCTTCATAAACTCATATATTCAAATAGTAGTAAAAATACATCAACCCTTACACTATACACACAATGCAAAAGTCATAGTCTAACATGATCACCTAAGTAAGATCAATTGAAGAAACCACACATACGCTAACATTACTTATTATATAGGTAGATATTATCATACTTCACATAATCAACCAAACAAATAAGTATATTACTTCAAGAAGTTGCTGACAAGCCAAATCAATTGTAAGTAAAGCAAATAACACCACAACCATAAGTGTACCATACCAATCAGAACATAATTGAAGTCTAATTAACATAAATTAAAGGTGATTATGGCAGCATACCACCACTCCATCCTCAGCACCTCTATTGGATGCCAAACCATCCAATTCAACACCATAAGGCTCTTACCCATGACCATAACAAAATATTCAATACAATTATAACAATACTCAACGAGACTAGGTCAATACACTATATATTAATTAATCTAATACACCCTAGATATAAATTAAATATTATTCTCACATCATTAATTATCCCATAGGAAACTACACTATAATTTATACACTCTAACTCTAAATAACTTAACCCATAAAGTAGTAAAAATCTAGGGTTCAACAATTACATGGGTACGTAGGTTAATTGAGTTTAAGTCATAAAATAAATAACAATTCAATCATTATTCAATGCTTAAAACTGTTATTGCAAGAACCCATGAGTATATCATGAAACTAGTCAATTCATCTTTAAAAAAATTTGAAAACATCTTTGAATGTTGGACTCCTTGATGAATAGAGTTGAAAGCATCGAAAACCATACCTAAATGAAGCTAATTCTTCATTTATTATTAATTTTCAATTAATTCTCCAATCAAAGCACTTCCTTGAGTTTTGGCTCCGTTGGAGTTCTAGAGAATTTCTAAGGGAATTTGGGTTTTTCATTTGGAAGAATGAAAACTTCTAATTTTATTAGTCTTATAAACATATTTTAAATACCCAAAAAAAACGTTAAGTAACCGCCAATACTGTTATTTTGACATTGGTCTAATTTTCAAGTTCACCCCTCAACTTAATAGTGAACTACGTAGTGAGGCAGTCCACCAACGATTGACAAACGACGGCCAATCCCTTGACCAACGGACTGTCCTGTTGGTCCCTGGTCTGGGACTGAATCTTGTATTTTTCTCTCTCTACCCCAACCCTAAGTACCAATTGAGGAGACACCACCAAAGAGGCATTGACTAATCCACAAGGCGTCGATTGACATCCGTTGGTAGGCTGTCTTGGGTAGTCTTGGTCATCCACTTTGGGTCCTTCCACAAGGACACTTGAATGGTCCTCTGGGATATCTTCCTATACGTTTCCAACCCAAACATGTTTTTATATAATTTTAGGACCTCTCACATGAATTTCAACCAAAACGAACACGTAAAACACAACAAAACACGCAAAGACACAAAAGGTCATTTGAAGGCAAACATTCCGAACGTCATGGACGTTCTTAGACGTTTAGCCTCCAAACATCACGTAACTTTACACACTTAGTATATACACTATAATAAATCATTTAAGGACCTTATAACCTCATTAATCACATATAAACACATAAAACCACATATGAAGCATATAGGTGACTTAGTCGTCAAACGTCTTAGTCGTCCCTTGACATTTGACTTCCAATATACATAAACTGTTAGACACAGCCTCAATACGGTATTTTAGAAATTTCTAAGAAATTCGAAAATCATAAAAAAATTTATTCTCTAGTTCACATAAGTCATTTTCGGGATTTTACATTCTCCCGCATTTGGGCAACATTCGTCCTCGAATGACAACTTCCACTCTCCGAAGACTTCCAAGAACAAAGATTCAATTAGCAGATCATGACCATACCTTATTATATCTGATTAAATTCAAACATCAAGGGAACATCAACTTCACATAATCAAGAGAATAACAACTCAACAAGAAACTAGCAACAAATCTTTAACTCATTAGTCTATAAAATTCTCGTGCTTCATTCCAAATAGAAAAAACTCATTTTAAATTGAATATAATACTCATATAAATCGGTTCTAACTACACTACAATATTTTTAGACTAAAGAATAATTAGTCAAATTTTGAAAAATTTGATAGTGAGCCGGAAGCACCTTACAGTGATTTTTGCTACCTATTCAAAAATGCTACTCTTAGGAAATTTATGATAAATACATGCTAATATGCAAGACAATGAAAGAAGTTAATGAAATTCAGTTTCATAAAAACTCCTAAACACCATGCACATGCAACATGCTTCCATGAATGTATATCCCATCTACTAACCATACTACCCCACTTAGAAGGAACTCATGTTACTAAAATAAACACAATAACTTAAGAACATCATCATCATCATCTCATCCGACTTTGATCCTCTTGCCTGAAGTGCATGGAAACAAGCCTTTGCCTTTGGAACATCCTCCATTGGAACATTAGGAGCAACTTGATTACCTTCTCTTCCTCTAGAGGAAATGATAGGAAAATTTGTCACCTTCTGTCCTTCCTTACCAAAACCAAAGCAACTCCTGGTATCCCTTCGACACTTACCATAATGCCTCTTTCCAAAATTGACACATGTAGGTTTGACATTTTGAGAACCACTGCCTTTCTCCAATTTCAGCTTAGCACTCCTAGTTTCTTCTTGAGTTTGAGCCCTCTTTTTGGACCTAGTTTGATCTTAGTCACTAGAACCACTCCATTTCAAGTTTCATGACACCCTATTATATTTGGACTCTTTAATTGATTAAGCATACACCATGATTATAGATAAGGTCATATCATCATGTAACATCCTCGTACGACATTCCTCCCTCACTAGATGGGCAACACCTGTAACGAATCTAATCATTTCATCCCTCAGATTGTACACAAGGTACGGGTCATATCTAAATAACATAGAGAACTTCAAAGAGTATTCGTCAACGCTAATATTTCCTTGATTTGAGATTTATTAAGTCCCCTACTTTAACTTCCCTTCTCTCACGGGGAAATTACATTCCAAGAAAAGCTTCTTTAAATTCTTCCCACTCAATAGGACCCGAATCTACCGGCCTATTGTCCTTCCATTGAGTGTACCACACTTGGGCAACCTCCCTCAATTTATACGAAACTAACTCCTCTTTATCACTAGATGCAACTGCCATAGCACTCAACACCTTGTACACTCTATCTTGGAACATTTGAGGATACTCTCGCACCTTAGAGAAAAGAAATATAGGAGGATTCATCCTCACAAAATCTCTCAACCTAGACGTCACAGTGCTCTCTACAACATTTACCCTAGACACCATACTCAAATTCTCTTGAGTAGTCATGGCTCGGGCTAAATCAAGCAAAGACTCTCTAATATCACTATTACTCAACTCCGGGGGAACCACAAGAACTTAATTACCTTCTTGCAGAATAGGGACTTGATAACCTTGATCACCTTGAGGAACATTCTAAGCTTGCTCAACTTTAGGAGGAATCTCCTCATGCACATCTTTATCCTCAATTCTCACAGTGGTGTTGCTTGTATTGATTTTTCTAGAAAAACAAGGAAAACCATAAGAAAAAATTACTCATAACATTTACTCCACGGCACGACATAAGAGTAGAAAAAAAGGGTAACTCTATCGTCCTATTGCCTCTAGCTAATAGATGTGTTGCAACTCACACTGATGGTCAAGACTCTACTAGACATGACTTGATGAGAATTTTTGATTCCTATGAATACTTTTATGACCAATATTTTGATACCAACCTTGTCATATCTCGACACAACACCTTCAAAGATAATGAAAAGTAGTGCAGACTTTAATACTTTTTGCAAAAACATTTGATACTCTTTAAAATCTCTTCCATATAAAATCATAGGAAATACTATATCTCAATCTCATCAAACATAGACACAAGAATACTTGGGACATGGCCCATACTTAGAAATATATAAATACTTAGTCTATTACAATACTTTGAAATAAAAGACATAAAAGACATCCATATATGCGCTCGAGTCAATCGAGGACATACTTCAACTTCAGTTGAATGATGATACAATCAAAGTATTGCTTCTAAAATGCTCCTCACCTATCAACTACTATAGATATAAATAAAAGCATGGAACTAGTACAACCATATGTACAAAGTATGGCATTATGCATAAAATCATGAAAACATATATTTATTAGAAATATGCATCTTTTCAATTAAAATTCATGGCATAATCATAAGAATAACATTTCAACACCTTAGAATCACATAAAGTAACATTTAGACAACTTAAGACATTTTTGAAGTCACTTTACAGTAACCTCTATTCACTATACAGTGAATTGCTTCACTGTAATAGTCAAGTGCTTCCTCTTCCTTTTTAAAACTTTCTAGCATGTAGTCTTGTCACTAAAAGGTATCCGAATACTCATTTAAACAATACAAAGAGAGACTGTCCATACACCTTCTCTACACATTCCTAAACGATCCTCAAGACTACTCATAATGAGACACATACACACGTTCAAGGCATCAAAACACATAAGATGTATAACATGACATTTCCCTTATCAATGATATCAAAAGACTTACTTAAGTAAATCAAGAAGATAATGTCCATTATTGACCTTTTTAAGACTATCTAAATAATCTTTAAGAGTACCTAACGCTTAGATCATGTCCACATAATGTACATCTTCCCTAACTCGATTCATTATTAAGACTTATCTAGGAAAGATACAAAGTGTCATTCCTATGTCCCCTTCGCACCTTAATTAAACAATCCTGAACTACTCTAGGTAAGTAATTATTCAATCAAAATACTTTCTTAACTTATGTCATTACATTATTAGTTCATTTAAGACTCATTAATAACATGTGGACATTCATGTTATGGTCTTGGACAAGACCTAGGGACTCTAACTAACTCCTGCAAAGCCCATTGTTCAATGTCTAGATTGTGTCACATACCACCACCTAAACATAATAAAACTTTTCTAATGCTAGTAGGTATCCCATATGATGAGAATAGTCAATAAACGACCTAGACCAGGATAGCAAATCATGGAATCCGGAGTTCTATTATACTCCGATGAGGGTGTTCTACTTGTCAATGGTAGAACATGAACATTTCCCAGGTAGGCACATGGTTATGGAATATTATGGGAGTGATTTGTAATCTAGTCTCATTATTTAACTTGAACTACTTCCCATACCATAATCACTCGGTACTAGCATTTGTTCTCATAGATTAATTCACACTTAGGGTTCATATAAAGGGCCCATATCAAGTTCATAACCAAATCACATTTACCCTACCAATGAATGGTCCACTAGAGATAACTTACAATGTAGACAAGAATCTCATCATGACTTTCCTAAGGTTTTATATGATGCCTCTTCCAGCCAATCAACCTTAAGTCTATCACTCCTTTACTTTAAGGATACCATTACGCTATTGACTTCAACATTCATAACCTTACCACTAAGTTCAAGGTTTCACATAAAACACTCTCTTAACTTCATTTAAGGTCTCATGTCTTTCGTATAAACAATACTAAGAAGCTATAGTATCCAAATTCGATTAATCTCATATTCACATTCATACATGCATCAAGTAAGGGACCCATGTCAACCAAGACAAGACACAAGATAGTTCACTTAAACGCATATTACATGTCATTCTAGAAACACATAGACATAATTACATCCTCTTTAAGCCATCCGATACAATATAATATAATAATCAATATAACCTTCATAAACTCATATAGTTAAATAACAACAAACATACATCAACTCTAACACTATACACACAAAGCCAAAGTCATAGTGTAACATGATCACCTTAGTAACTTCAATATAATAACACAATATACTTTCACATTAATTAACATATAGGTAGATAAAATCATACTTCACATAATCAACTTTACAAATAACCATATTACTTAAAGAATTTGCGGAGAAGGCCATTTTTACTTAAAATAACGCCGACAAGGCCACATTAATTGCAAGTAAAGCACATAACACTGCCACCATAAGTGGACCATACCAATCACAACATATCTAAAATCTAATTAACATAAAATAAAAGGAATTAGGGCAGCGTACCACCAGTCCATCCTCAATGCCTCAATTCGATGCCAAACAATCAAATTAAATACCATAAGGCCCTTACCCATTCCCACAACAAATAATTCAACATAATTATAATAATAATCAATGAAATTAGGTCAAATCACTGTATATTCAACAATCTAAGACAACCTTTATATCAATTCAATATAGTTATCCCATTATTCATTAGTCTATGGGAAACTACACTAGAATTAACACTTAAAGGCCAAATTACTTAACCCATAAACTAGTCAAAACTAGGGTTCATCAATTACATGGGTTCATAGGTTAATTGTGTTAAAATCATCATATTAATAACAATTCAAAAACTAATTAATGCTTAAAACCCATTAATGCAATAACCCATGCATATGTCATGGAATTGGACAATTCATCTTTGTGAACTTTACAAAACAACTTCGAAATTTTGTATCCTCTATGAATAGAGTTTTAAGGATTAAAAACCGTACCTCACTAAATCTGATTCTTCAATTTTATGTAGAATCTATACTCAATTCTCCAATCCATGCTCTGCCTTAAATTTTGGTTCCATTGGAGTTCTAGAGAATTTCTGAGGGAATTTGGGTTTTTGATTTTGAAGAATGAAATCTTCTAAGTGTTTTAGGCTTATAAATATATTTAAAATATCCAAAAGACCCTTAAGTATCCTCCAATACTATTAATTGTACGTGGGGTGAACTTACAAGTACACCCCTCAACTTAACATTGAACTACTCAGGGAGGCAGTCCACCATCGGTTGCCAAACGACAGTCCATCCCTTGATCAACGGACCGTCCCTTGATCAACGATCCTTCATGTTTGTCCTTGGTTAGCACTGAGGCTCGTGTTTAGATGAATCTCCACCAAGCCTAAGTACCAATCGATGAGACACCACAAACGGGGCGTTAGTAGACACACTGGGCGTCGATTACCAACCCTTGGTAGGCTGTCTTGGGTAAAAATTTCGGTCCTTCTTCAAGGATCCTTGTATGGTACTTGGGGATATTTTCCTTGACGTATCCAACCCAAACATGTTCGTACAAATTTAGTACCTCTCCCATGTATTTCATCAAAAACCAACACATAAAACTCAATGAAACGTGCATAGTCACACAAGGTCGTGTCAAGGCAAACCTTTTGAACGTCATGGACGTTCTTGGACGTTTGACCTCCAAACTTCATGAAACTTGACACACTACCTATATACTATAATAACTCATTTAAGGACCTTATAACCTCATGATTCACACATATACACATAAAACTACAAATAAGGCACATAGATGATTTAGTTGTCGAACGTCTTATTCGTCCCTTGACGTTTGACATCCAATGCACCTAAACTATTAATGATGTCTCAATACCATATATTGGACCATTTTAAGACCTTAGAATATCATGAAAAACATGTTATTCTCTAGTTCACCTAAGTCATTTTCGGGATCGTAAAATCAACTTGTATAAAACAACAACACATTTCACATTTATTATCACATCATTTGTCCTCTCACGGAACCCAAACCCATATATTTAGCATGCTGGAACATGGAAATCTGATCCTATATTTATGCCAGAATATGGCCATCTAATCTTATATTAGGTAAGTGTGTGGAAATCTGATACAATGTAATGCGAGAGTGTGGCAATCAAATCCAAGATAATTATGTTGGAGCATGGCAATCAGATCTAATTCACACTTGACAATCACAAAACACAAGTACATCTTCAAGATCATTCATTTAAGGCATGATTTCTTAGAAATGATATTTCATCTATCTAATTTAAAACAAGTGTGATGAATATTACAACATCAATACATATAAAAGTATCATAGTGAAGCAAGAACAAGCTACAATAAATATAATATATAGCTACAAAATTATTAGCCATAACACAAAATTCTTCACTATATATTTTGTTCTTAAATATATGGGTCACATATTTTTCGTAACAAAACATTAAACTTGGAAGAAAAATTTTGTCCACTAAATTTTCCCAACAAAAATTGGATTGCGCCATTTTTTGAGGACTATTAACCATGAATTTAAAGTCATTAGTTACACATTATTATGTCACTAATAAGGTTCTAAATTAGAGACAAACCATTTTGTGTATAATTAGTTAAATTTTCGATATGAAAATGTTCTATCGCAAAAGTTATATTGATGTTTTAGTCACAAATACTTCTTTGTCCTAAAATTAGTTATATTTTGTATATGAAAA